TCCTGCAAGTGCTTTCCATTGCTGCTTTTAGAGAAGGGAACATCAAGAAGTCTATTGTAGGCTTCACACGTCAGCTGATGCCGCAAAATTCCGCTAACTTAGCATGGAAATGCAAAAAACGTACACATGGAAGAAACGTATATATACATCTGGAGTTCACCTTTCTGATGAGCGCCCCTGGTGCCTTGCTTTCTCTGTCAAGTTTCGCTTGCTTGACGTGTCCCTGAGAGCAGGGCAGGGTAGGACCGGGGATTCAGGAATTTAGTTTGGTGTTCATCCGCTTCCTCTGTTCGTCTTGCAGAACCTACATGGAGAAACTAAGAAATTATGAGGGAGGGCTTGAATACCCGGAGACCTCCCCGAGAGAACCTTCTTGTCTCTGGACAGCTTCTGCCATGTCACTCATAAGGTTCCTCTGGCTCCCATGCTTGTTTGCACAGTAGATATCAGTAGAATATATAATCGTTCCCAAATAACATGCACCCGCTCTAGTGCTGAAGGTAAAGTTAAGTTGAAGTTTCGCAGTGCTGCAAACTTCTATATCGGTGCTCGTGGAAAACTAGATTCCTCCGATTTAGCAGTGCTTGCCACTTGTCAGGCACAAAACTAAGGACGCAATTCCGGGGCGCCAATGGCCCTCATGGCAATATAGGAAGGAGGATACCCCACTCACATGGGGAAGACCTATAGCATCCAGATACATATAACATCCAGAAACACACAAGTTATGAGATGTATCAGCACCCTTCCTCTTTAGATTGATCGCCCCAAAAATGGTGAAAGAATCGCTAAAGCAATCTGCCAAACTCCAGGAGCATGCTTCACATGGAATCAAATCTGTCAATGGCTCTGGCCTTGGGCTGCTCGCACTTGGTGCGTCACCAGAACGACTCCTGCAAACGTCCATGTTTTGAGGAAACTTTTCCCGTGCAACACTTACAAGCCCTTTGCAAAAAGCAATGGAGCTTCGCCAGAACAAATCACAATCAGGTTGGATTCCAAATATAAGTAGAGTGCTATCAAGTGCTATTTCTTTTTTTTGTTGCCCGTCTCTTTTCCGGTGCCTGCTGTCAGCTGAACATGGCTCTCAGATCCTTTGATCCGGGCCTCGAACATGTGGCACGTAACTTCGGGGTGAGGTCCCAGTTGTTGCCCGTCATCTTCGTCTTGGCTTTGCACAGCTTGCATTCAGCCATGTTGCCGGTGCGCATCATCTGATGCGTGGGATGCCCCCTCCATTCAGCTGCATCCAGTGGCCCATGATGGCAGTAGGAGCCGAGGAAACGGTGGAATTGTTCCTCCCCCGCTCTTGCCAAAATGTAGCATCGGCAAACTTGGCACCTCAAGTAAGCTTTGTCAAGCTTGAAGTGGTGCTGTCCTTCAACCGGAGCTTGCTGCATGTCCAAGAGGTCATGGATGACTTCAAACCTAGTCTTTTTGTGCTCTTTGGCCAAAATGGCTTGAGTGCAGGGTGCATTGAGGCCTTCCTGGATTTCCTTGAGGAACGATTTGGCGTGAAGCCGGTTCCGACATAGAGTGCATTGGACTCCTGATCTGAAGGCTTGCCATTGGTGACCATTCCGTGTGGGCTCCTCCAAGTACTTGGCCAGCAATTCCCGCTTTTGCTGGATGAGGGGGATCTTGGCCGGGCTGTCTTGCTTGTTCTTGTTGTACAAGAAGTGACTTTTGTCAGTCAAGAAGTCAAGAGGATCTCCATTCTGTTGGTTGCCACAAAGAGGATGCCTCGGGTGTCTTCATCGACCTGTCGTTGGAGGTCCAAGATCTCTTCTGGGCGAGCCAAAATGGCAGCCTGAGTGGCTTTGGCTTGTGCGTCCTTTTGGAAGAGCTTCCGGTTGTGGCTGCTGTTCAAATCAGAGCCGCTCAGGAGTAAGAGACGGACCTGATCATAGTCTTCCTGCTCCAAGCCTTGACAAAGGTCCGGGAAGTGCTCGAAAGCTGCCATCCAAGTCCAGAGTTTCCATGTGGTGTGCTGGAAAACCGGGACTTGCACCTTGTCATTGATGTGCAAAGACAGGTGCTTGAGGGCGTAGAAGAAAGCCCTCTGTCTGGATGCATGCCCAGGACAAATGCCAGTGATCGAGGCAATCCGTTCCTTGGAGTGGACGTTGTGGATGCAAATGGCAAAGGCAAACCTTCGATGTCGTGGGTCACGACAAGTTGGAGCAATGGCCACAGAGAAAGCTTGACCGGCTCCCACCGGCAGGGTCTCCAGATTGGACCAAAGACCTTCTCCATTGAAAGTGGCCATGCCGCCATCCGGGATGTAGAAGAGGCTCTGTGTCATACCGCGATTCCAAAGCTCCGGTTCGGTTCCCGCTTGAAGTCTTTCGTGCCATTGGTCTGGCAGATCCTTGACTCTTCCTTTCCAGAAACTGCACTGCCACAGCAAATGGATGAAGGTGATGTCTTCTCCGCAAAGTGGACATGACCCTTCTTGTCCATGAAGAGTGCCTTGATGAAAGGCCCGGAGCGCTGTGCATTGCTTGTCAGTGCACATCTTTTCCATGGTGCGGCTGACCGTCCAATCTAATGGCCTTTCCAAATCGTGGCAGCCGGTGTACCAAATCAAGTGCTATCTATATGTTTGCAGTATATATATATATACTCTAAGTCCGACAGCATCACCACCTCGCTCTTTCAAGTAGGAATCAGCAATCTTTCACCAGTTCATTCTGAGAGGGTCTTGGGATGTCTTTGTCTTGGGAAGGTTTCTAGGCGTCTGGAAGTCTTGCTAGAATCTCGCTTGCAGACCAATCCTTATTTCAATATATACCTCCTCCAAGTAGGCACCCAGTGGAAAGTTCTATGTGTCGGTCCTGTCTGTCTTTTCAGCCTTTGTCTGGCTCCTGCAAAGCTCGACAAGTTGCCCAAGGGCATGATCTGGACCCAGTATATAGAATCAAATGGAATGGAATCAAAGCCGCTCTTGCCCTTGGAGGAACTTTGGATAGCAATCGTGATCTGGCTGAGAGTGAGTGATGTCAAAGGTTGGCCTTTGTGAGTCAAGATATCGACGGGCGTGCATGCATAGTCCTGTGATACCAGTGCGTCACAATCGTCCATGGATTCTGGGTACCAAAGTTCCAGACATCAGTGACACAGCCTGTATGGCTCTAGTCCAACTGACTCGCACACCTGGTTCATCCACTCCACATGGAACAAATAGTCCAGCCACCAAGTCAACAATCGCCCACCTTGTTTGAATCCAGCCACAATCCTACAACCATATCTCCTCTGGTCTGGGTCTTTGGCTCGTTCCGCACCCTCCGCTCTCCTGTTCTGCTCGGCATTGAACAGAGCTTTGCGCTCACTGTTCCATGCAGTCAGTGAATAAATTGGCACTGCCCAAGAGGGCCCCAACAAGCTGAACCGGAAGAATACGCAAAACACTCTTTCATGATAACGTGACTATCTCCTCTCTCTCTCTCTTTCATCATCTAGAGGGTTCAGTGGCATCCTGTCGTTTCCATATGTTTCCATGTATCATGGCCAATGCATGAGGCCTCCTTTGTTTGTTGAATTGTGAGAACTTCTGTAAGTTGCACACTAAATAACAATAAATGCAGGTCGACGTGCGCACTGGTTTAGGGATACTATGCGACTTCGTTTGGTTCATCTATGAGTCAAGTCACATCTACTCAAGCAAATCCTTCATAGCAGTTGAAAGAATTCACCTGAAGCCTTCAGCAACCAGGAAAACTGCAGTAGACAAACTCAAAAAGCTTTGTGTTCGCAGAATTATACAAATCTCAAGCACCCCGGCCTGCTTGCAGGTGGTGCTTCACCAGAAGGACTCCTACAAACCACCAGTTGTCAGGCTTTGTTTTGGCAACACTTCATCAAACAAATATGATCCAATCGAACATTATGAACGTATTTACTCTCTCAATCTCATAGCCGCTTGCAATGCCTGGCTTTCTCAGAGAACTTCCACTTGCTTGACGTGTCCCTGAGCGAAGGGTAGGATGCCAGAAATTCCTGGTGTGTTTTGATGCATATTGCTTCTTGATGCTTCTCGGAAATCCCTGTGCACATAATTACAAGGTTTGTGGAACCGGAGGGTCGAATATCTCATGGGTAGTTGCCGAGGTGAAAAGCTCCGAACTGGACAGACTCAGGATACTTGTGAGCCAGCGAAACGGAGTTACTGCACTTCGATTCCACCGTTTCTGCTCCGTTCACCAGGAAAAGGAAACCAAGGAGGGATGGTTCAAGACTTGTTGATCCCGACTGAGCATCAGCTCCCAAACACGTTCTGTCAAATCTCCATCTCCGCCCAAACAAATCGTAAACGACAGTATACCCTCGTATACTACAATAGGTCAAAGATCTATGCTGCCTATATCTGCCTATAATATCAACACACAGTGCGGACAGTACGGGTAAGTCTTGCTCGACAAAGACCCAGTACCGAAGAGTTGAGAAAGCCACACTGAAACCTGCAGCAAGTAAGAACCTGATACGTTGTATCTACCGAACTCAAGGAGTACTATCCACTTAGCATCAAATCCGCCAACACCCCAGGCCTG